TGTGCAGGCATTACAAGAACAATTATAGATTATACATGGAAATTTTTATTGTTATGTTTTCGGGTATGAGTAACGTGTAAAGAAATTCAATTTCTTACCGAAGTGAAAGATAGCCCTTCAAGAGAAATCACATTTTAAGGTGGATGGGTATCTTCGCTAATCATTTCACTGCTAAATTAGGGTTTATCGCGAAGCGAAAAATAAATAAGTAAAATAAGTATTAAAAAAAAATTAAAAAAAAAAAATATTAGGAAGCGAGCACTTGTAAAACAACGACTAAGCCTTTAGCTACGATGACAAAACCAAAAAGTCCAAGTTATCGCCATTAACTATCACTCACTATTTATTAAGTGCGACCGTTAATGTCTCGAAAGGGGGAAATACAGTAGATTGGCTTGAAATATTTTCGAGGAAGCAGCTATTTAAAATAAATGCTAACGCGCCTGGTGCAATACGTCAAGGATCGTTTGGAAAATTGCATCAAATTTTTATATTGATTGATTGATATTTAGAAAAATAACAACAACTCAGGAACATACATATAACTTCTTAAACCAAGTGCTGGGACAAACGCGCTAGCACACATTCTACACATTGCAACAAATTAGATATATATATATATATATATATATATCACATTCCAATAATATTGTAATTTCATCATTAGCCACATGATGCATACCTTCTGTTGTGAAATTGATAACCGTTCGATTTCAGGAACGTTTTTTGCCGCACTTTTATTCCAAATGCAACTCTAAAAGAGAGACTGACTTAACGATAATAAGCGCAGTTGTGGAACACGGGCGGTTTATTTACCGTATTTGTGGAGCTCGGGCGATTTATATACCGTAATTGTGGAACACGGGCGGTTAATTTACCGTATTTATGGAACTCGTGTGGTTTATTTATTGTAATTGTGGAACTCGGGCGGTTTATTTACCGTATTTGTGGAACTCGGGCGGTTTATTTACCGTAATTGTGGAGCTCGGGCGGTTTATTTACCGTATTTGTGGAGCTCGGGCGGTTTATATACCGTAATTGTGGAACTCGGGCGATTTATTTACCGTTTTTGTGGAATTAATCTCAGCAAATCAATCAATTTATATTAGATTATTCTATATTATTTATATCAAAAATCTGCACTTGAAGAAATTCGTTGCAATTTATTATAATACATTTTTGTGTATTGCAATTATTTGTCAATAATATACTTACACTATATGGGAAATTGTAACAATACATTTTTTTTATGCGATCTTCCTTAATTGTGTTTTTATTTTCTACGTTTTTAACTTTTCTCATAATTTTATTATTTTTTCAACATCCTTCAAACGCTTTAGTAGAGGCGCGAACCAAGTGTGACAATAACCCATCTTTTAGCAAAGACAAAAATGTGAGCTACATACAGGTGACCTGTTTCACGCAAGTAATTAATTTTTTTTTGTCTTTTGAAAGTGGAGATGCTTTCAGTGTCAGCTCAATTTTATCCATTTTCAATACTAACCTGAAGAATTTTCAATGTGTATGCTAGACGTGATGCCTATAGCTTCATAATGTTTCAGTTTTCTAATTCTGTTTAAACGTATGCAAAGCGCCCATACACTCTTTAAAAAGACTGAATAATTCCAGTCATTCAAGTAAGCGATATCCACATACATGTAAGTGAATCGAACAAGTGTGTATATCTCGAAAGTGTATATAAAAGTGTATATGTAAGATACTCGCCAGATACCCGTTGATGAGCTCTAAAAGATATGCATATAAAGAAAAAGAAAATAAGCAAAAAGTGAGTAACAAAATATATATAGAAAAAATAATCAAATATATACCTGAGCATATTTACAGACCTGTCGGAGAGATATCTTTAATCGTTGGTTTTGTTGCATCGAATCTATCCTTCTGAAAAAACCGATGGCTGTTTAATATAAGGAGTTTGCAGTACACCGTGTGGCGAATTGGAAGACTTGAGCTTTTGGCTGTCGCTAGTCAGGACATCATTATAAAATTAGTAGTAATCCGACTAGACTTTCGATAGCACTATCACAATAGGATTGCTCTTCGGAATGTTCAGGTAAAGTATTGCCTAGTTGCAATAGTTGATCCATGGCTTTTAAATTCACCAAAGCACCAATTAAGGCTTTGGTGCATTTCGTTAATCAATTTAATGCTATAACGTCGTCTACGTGGTGATTCCCAAAACATTTCTGTGCAATGCGGTTCCTTATTGAACATATTGCTCCTCGCTAGTCGTTACTTTTTTTCATCTTGTGGCTTCACGGTTTTCCACGCCGCCATTGAGATACCGTGATAGGCGTGTTGCAATTTTTTTAAAATGGCTGGGATCCTCTCTAGGCCTACACGATTGTTTAACTTAATTATAAATATATTTTTGTAATAATATATATATATAATAATAATAATAATAATAATAATAATAATATAATAATATGAAATGAAATTAAAAACAAATATCGCGACATTACCGCAGGACAGCATAACGAAGTCCATCTATGCTATAGGCTTTAAAAAGGAGTTGACTTGGGAAGGTTGCAAAGCAAAACACAATTTTATTAAAATAGCATAAGCTGTGGCCAAAAACATTTTCACGAACCTCGAAATCCCTCGATTTCTCAATAACCTCTCTCGTGCTAGCTACCTGATCTGGCGTGTCCGGTAACGAGGATAGCAGATTGAAACAAAAAAAGCAACGACAGTTGTAGCAATTGATTAGCATTGGCAAGAGTGATTTCGTGTATGAGAAACCGGGCTGTACGATATTAACAATAGCGTACAACAATGAACGATAACTGTACAATAAAAATGTAACTATAAATGCGATGCGTATAACTTATGAAGGATTGTCAACAACTTTGTTCAGACGTGTGTGGGATAGGGAGCTGCACATTCTGATATATGGATAGGGAGTACTTGCGATATACAATTGTGCATTTTTGAATAGTGAACAATATCGTGAACGAAGAGATAAATACCAATGAGGAACATTTTATCTATCGGGCCAATTTTATCTATAGCTACAGATTCCATGTTCCTTCCCGTGCATGTATCCAACAAACTTTTTTTTTACTTATAAACTACAGCGAGAAAAACTTCCACATATATTCATTCTATGGGCGATACTATAGTAATAGTATACAAAAATGAAAAAGTTCGTCCACACTTACCCAATGTTATAGTGCGTCAAAGCCTCATTTTTTTTTTTTTTTTTGTCAAATCTTTGTAACTCCCAAAAGCAAGTTTTAAAAACTCTATAAAGCATATACATTCTTAACCAGTGTCAAATTCGGAATGCATCTGCTCCCGGGTTACCGAAGCTAAGACAGCTAACCAAGATACTGGAATTACGTTGGTCTGCTAGGTTTTCGCATCCTTTAAAAGGTATAAAAATCTGCAGTTGTTAAAATTCGTTTAAAATTTTTTATAACATACTTTGTATTTAGACAAATGCATACATACACATAAATCAATACGTAAATAGTAAGAATATAAATTTTTTTTTAATTCTTTATAACAACCCGTACGAATTGTGTTTTTATTTGTGCATGTATTTTCTATCTTTTTGTTATCATTTTATATTCTTTCCATATCGTTCATTTATCAATTCCTTTAGCAGAGGCACGAACCAAGCGTGGGCTCATTTCATGCCAGTAAAACGTTCTCTTGTTCGCAAAAATGAATATGTCGCCTTCAAATTCGACAAAAGAATTTTTTATTATTATTATTATTATAAATTTAGCCAGAGAATAAATTTTAGAACTAAAGTCTTAAAGCACTAACATCTAAGGCTTTCGGCTTTAATAAAAACTCTACCGCACTTGAGATTTGAATCCACGACCATTGAGTTGTCAGTCGAGACTCTTGCCTACTCGGCCACTCAGGCGGATACAAAAGAATTTAAAAATGACCCAAACTAACCAAAGGATACCCATACAATGTAAGTTAAACTGGCAACGCTTTGTTGCCAGAGTTTTCTATTCATTACTCATAAACTACAATAGATACGCAATAAAACTTCCTATTTTTCTACATAGCACAAACAATCCATCCCACCTATCGTAGAGTGTGAAAATTGGTGGCAAGTGATTTTCTTACTTGTTAATTTTAGTTTCTTATTCTTATACTTAAGAATGTCTTAATTAGCTTTGTTATATTATGTTTGCTACGGTTTTTGATTTATTTGTCAAGCAATTAAATCGTACGTAGGCAACGTTTATTTACTTTCTTCCATCTATAAATTATATAAACGCTTTAATGACTTTAGAATTCGATTATTAGTTTTTTTTCTTATTGTTAAAATAATTTCTTTGTTGTAATATGATTTTCTATAATTTGGAGGGAGTATATACATATGTACATTCAAAAATTGCAGTTTAATTGGTTTGTGTCTTGCGAATGTGCAACAATAGAATGAAACAAAATTGAAAATCGTAACCTAAATAAAGATTATTGTATTTGCTAATATGAAGCAAAGGCGATACAATTTTTCAGTGGTTTGTATTGTGTATTGAGAATTAGTTTCCATTTCATTTCAATTTATTTTGGTTTAATGTTAAGGACGAATATATTCCAACAGAATTTAAATAAATAATTTTTCTCCCGTTCCTAAAAATAGGCGTGCTCATTCGATTAGTCGAAACCATTCGCTTAACTTATAAGAAACATGAAATAAAACCATAATGGCTACGCAAAAACAAACTAATCTTGCAGAATAATAAAAATACAACCGCGTATACGTATTTTTGTATTTTTAAAGTTTTATTGTTATTTCTGAAAATGCCAGCCTTAGTACCGCATACAATCACATCTGTTATTCTCATGTCAGAATTGCCATGTTCAAAAATTTCAGGCACATAAAAATACTTATTGTAACAAATTTAACAAACTGAACTATCAAATTCTCGAAAAAAGAAACTTCTGGCAACCTTTATCATTATTGTCTGGTTTATTTTATTCATAGTATTCTTTTCAAGCACGGAGTAAGTTAGCAAAAAAGTATAACTTTGTTTTAAAGCACAATTGGTTTATGTGGCCTTATTTTTTCTATTCTATTAAAATTGATTAAGAAAACAAGTTTTCTATTTAACCCAACCGAAAAGCGGAAAGCTATTAAAAGGTTTAAGGTTAATTGTTTAGAAAAAAAAAACAAAATTTATGTTATTTTAAAATACATCTTCAAGAAAGTAAAATGCTATCGTTTTGGTCGCGTTTTAGAAATGTTTTATTACAAAATGCTTCAGCAGTTTATTTTCAAGGTTTGTAAATGTTTGCAATCACATGAACTCGACGTGTTCCAATCACTGAAGAAGCGGACATCAACCTGAGGAAAGAAAACCCAGAATGTATTGTCATATCAGATGATTTTGTTTGTTGTTATTGTTTGTAGTTGTCGCGTTCATTTATCCTGTTTGGCGATAACTTTTTTTTTAATGCCTTTTTTACTTTTTTAAATGATTCAGATCTCCCTACTTGGAAAGTATATTCACTTATTTGTTATGTTATGTATTAGAATTTAAAGTTTATAGTAACTAAGCATGAACGACGATATAAATGTTGTTGATGATAGTGAAAGATAAGAATAGGGAACAAGAGAATAGCTCGCATTGATTGTGATGTTAGATTTGGTTGGTTAACTCTCAAGTTCTCAAGACCGGAGATACAGGTTTAAGCATTCTGCACAATTAAAAAGCCGCCCTATGCGAAATAATATATTCAAGTTATATAAACATTGGGGAATGTTGTTTTTGTTATCAATGAGCTCTTAATCGTTATAAATATGCCTCAAGCAATATAAATTAACGGTTAGGCCTAACGGTTACAATAGTCGTTACGTTGTTATGAAAAACGGTTATTGGCCAAATATATTTGGCGAGTGGGGTTCAAGTCTATGCTTTGAATTTCTTTTCACTTTATATACTATATATGATTAGCTTATCTTTGATTTATTTTTATACCCTACAGCACTTGGGTATATTGAGTTCGTTCGGAAGGCCTTCGATCGATTCAATATCATTTTCTGAATTGCTACACTGACGTGCTTTGATCCAAGGACGGACGCTATTGAAAATGTTTTGGATCGTTTCATTTTTTCGACCACTCTCCACGTAACGCCATATTTTGAAAAGTGATTGTATGCAAGAACATTACAATCTTCAAAATTTCTCGAAAAAAGTAGCTCATTAATAGTATTTCGGTATTCGAAATTGGTGTGAAAACTGTGGACAGGCTGGGCTAACTTTTTGCAGCCCTGTCATGTTTCCACGAACACGATGTCTCTCAATGGTATGAAGGTCGTTTTTAATTTTTTATGGTTCATAACAGTAAACTGCCAAAGAGATTAACCTTACCGAATTTGTATCAAGTAGGTCTTTGTTTTTAATACCTCTGCATATAAGGATTCTCAGAAAACGTAAGCCCTTATATTCCCAAAAGGGCTTTTTGTTCATTTTTTATGATGAAAATTTGTTTATGATAGTAATTTGATGTAAATATTAAGTGGCACAAATTTGATCCACATGGGTGTACTTTTTGGACCCCAATCCATACAAATTTTCTAACAAGTAATCCTTCAGAAAAATGTTTAACTTTTAATATTTTATGATGGAAATTGATCCGCTGTAGTATATTAACGAAGAAATTGACAGTAGGGAATTAGGACCACGCAGATCTATTTTGTAGACCCTAACACATAAAAAGGCTATCATGGAAAGCGAACTCTTATATAGAGAGAAAGTACAATTTTTAGTTTTCGATGGCAGAAATTGTTTGGTTAATTTGGATCACGCCATATGATGTTTTGGGGACTCTCCAATATGCGCTTTGTCGTGAAATATAAGAAAGGGTAACTTTTGGCGTCTAATTAAAGAAACGAGCGAATAATTGTATTGGGCGAAGTGGTGTGGGGTATTGAATGATCGGTCTTGCCCGACTATAATATTCTTACTTGTTTTCTTCTTTTTTTTTTTTTTTTTTTTGTTTATATGTGAGAATTCCAAGTTGTTCGATTACTGTGGGTCATACAAAAAAAAAAATATTTTTTTCTTGTTTATTTCTTTTCAAATATTTAAGCTCAAAAACTGAGAAGCGTTGGTATTCACGGCATGCACAGCTCAGTGGAAGATTTAAAAACGGAAGCAATGCAAGTGAAAATCTTGCCAGCATTGCAGGACAACTACATGTATTTGGTATATGAAAAAAAAAAAAAGATTTCCTTAAGAATAGTATCTTGCAGGTTATCATTATGTTACAATTTGATTTGAATTTGTTTTAGATTATTTGCGATTCCACACGTGAAGCTGCTATAGTTGATCCTGTATCACCTGAGACGGTTTTACAAGCTGTCAAAGATGAGAATGTGAATTTAAAAAAAGTTCTTACCACTCACCATCACTGGGATCATGCTGGCGGCAATGAGAAGTTATTGCAAATGTTTAGTCTTCCTTTGGAAGTATATGGCGGCGACAATCGTATTGGCGGCCTTAACTGTATGGTTAAACAAAATGATCGCTTAAAAATTGGAAATCTAGACGTGACTTGTTTATTTACACCGTGTCATACTTCGGGACACATATGTTACTATGTTCAGTCTGCGACCGGGGATCGATACGTTTTCACTGGCGATACACTATTTCAGGGCGGTTGTGGTCGCTTTTTCGAAGGGACGGCCGATCAAATGTACGATGCCCTCTGCAAACAGTTATCCTCGCTACCAGACGATACTAAGGTTTTCTGCGGTCATGAATACACGTTGCAAAATATGTCATACGCTTTGCATGTGGAACCGCAAAATGAGAATATACTGAAACGCATCGAATGGGCGAAATTACGCAGAGCCACTAAATCACCCACAGTGCCATCTACTATTGCAGAGGAAAAATCGTGGAACCCATTCATGCGTGTCCATGAACCAAGCGTTCAAAAACACGCACAACAAACCGATCCCGTACGCACAATGGGCAGCTTACGCAAAGAGAAGGACAATTTTAAAGCTTAGAAATTTTCAACTCTCATCTTGTCTTGTGTGTTAAAAATTTAAAGAAGAAGAAACTTGAATAATTCCGGCGTTCTCTTTTGATACCAATAAACTTTATAGCTTTAATATGATAAATCTTTTAAAAATGTACCCCAATTATTTATTATTATTATTATTGTTATTATTATTATTATTATTATTTGTTATTTATTATTTATTATTTTTGCAGCTAATGCTTGCAACAGCGACAATAAGTGTGCTTCATACGTTATGCTTTCGAAAAAGAGAAAGTATTTTAATATTCTGTGCAAAGATTGCGCCGAGATTATAGTTCGAGTCAAGGTTACCTTACGAATATAAAACATTGCTATGTTGCTTATAAATCTTAATAAATTCTCTAATATCAGCCATATCGCGCGGCGTATTCAAATTTTAATTGAGAAATATATACCAACAACAAAAGTATTTTATCTTCATTTGAATAAATGCTTAAAGCAGGATGGTAAACAAGGCAGTAAATAGTTGTGGAATTTATCATAATCACATTCGCTAGACAAAGACTGCTATCTCTGTAAGATTTCAGAGTCAAATTCCTCGCTTATCTAACTGAATAGTTTATGGTGGAATGAAAATAAAGCATTTCAGGAATTTATTGTTTATTTAATTAGAATTTACTTACCTTAAAAGCCGCCGCGACACAAACGTGATATGAAGAATGAATGCTTAGCGAATGTTCACTTCTTATCAAAAAATCAAATACGCATTACAGTCCAGGATAAGAACTCATTATTATACATACATATGTTGCTGGGCTCGTAAATCTCCCCATAACCTCTACATTGGATATGCATTTTGATGAAAAATTTTATTCCGTCGATTCAATTAGCCGTTTCACAAATTCATAATATTGGATTTTGGAGAAAATTTAATCAAATCCGTTATTCAGGGTCTCAAAATCGCAGATCAAGAATAAAAGGGTGATAAGTTTCTCTTTAAATAGTATATGTAAGACAAGCTGACATCTCGATTGCTGAATACCTTATACAATTTTGCGTAATGCAATTTCTCACTTGTCTTTGTGTCCGCCTGCACTACTTCACCCTCTCTGCAGCGCTTCTCCCCGTTAACTGTCAAAAAGAAAGCCTTTCCAGAAATCTGCTCAAAATGTTCGAGATCTTATCGATCTAGTGAAAATCTTCTTCAGATAGATTGGAACGTTTAAAAGGATTCTTCCATAAAATCGCAAAAAGGCTTAAACTGTGAATTATGTGAAAAGTCTCATAGAAGCAGGAAAACTGAGCCTTTGGTCACAAGGAAGTGTTCGGAATTTTGCTGAAAATGGAATGGAGTGAAGACAGTTCGAAAGCAATTGATTCACTTACAGGCAAGATTCTATATAAAACTTGCTTGACAACGGCTTTTGTAGATCGTATTATTCACGGCGCTATGTTCCATCTATCATCTCATATGATCATATTACATTATATCATATTTGGACATATATGGCTGGAATGACGAGTCTAGAGTTAACACCAGGAGTAACTATATACTCGCAGAGAGCCATAAAGAGAATGAACTCGGGAATATAACTAACTATGTATATTTTGATTGATGACAAGAAAGTGTAAGTAAGTGTGTATGCATAGCGCATATCGTCGGCATTGTTGAATATGCATGAGAAGACTGAATAAGTGCCGCACTTATTTAAAATGCATTCTTGCGCTATTATTGTGTGCATTAAGTGCTTGACATATCATGAATAATAGTTGGAAAGAAGACGTGAAAGGAAGCAAAGTTTATAGCTATGTTGTGAACAATTTTGAAGCAAAACGTTTTTATTCGAATTTTTCTTTTTTTTTTTTTTTTTGCTTTCAAGTTAATTGGCTTTGAGTTTACTTAGAATTGAAAAAATTTCGAAAGCTATAGAGAAATAAAATTTTCCTTTTAAGTTTGCAGACTATTAACTGCCTATCAATATTTGCTTTTTCCAAAGTTTTTCACGAACGCATTGTTGGAATAGTCGCTGGAGTGCGTGCAATGCGTTTTACGTTCACGTTAAGCTTATTTGCCGGTATTTCACAAAATTTTCTATTTTACGAGCCGCACCGCTCTCGTAGATTGCGGATCAAGGAAAATCGTATTCTGGTTTGAGGCGATTAAGAGGTTGAAATATTTCGCAAACATGATGCATGGCTTGAAAGGAGGGAAGTACAATTATGCAGCGTGAAATTATGCGGCTTAGAAGGTTACATAATGCAATAAATCTCTCTCTTGTATATATGGGAGTATATTTTGCTTGTGCTAGGCTTTTTGCGCCTACGATACGTTAACACTAAACTAAATATTTACTATCACAGATTGCAGTCCAGTGTTGGCTATTTTTGGGCAGCATTGCTATTTGTCTCGATTGACAAGCTTATCGCAAAGGGATGCGACGAGGGGACTAGATATTCACTAAGCACGCACGTGGCATTGTGTAGTGAGCCGATTTGAACTGTGAATATTCGTCTATGCGAATAGAAATCTATAGCTATGTTATATCAGTGTTTATGCAAGATTTTAGTTAATTGATGGTGGACAGCGTAGTCCTTGTGGATCAATTAAACGTATTTAGGCTGCACTTTTTTTTGTGTTCGCCTTCCCTTTTGCGGATGCGTATGAGATATCTTTAAGAATAGATTTCGCTTTTTTGTCGCGCAAGCAAATTGAAATTTTTGAATCTGTAGAAATAGTTTGGAATTTTGTTGTGGCCGTCCTTTTTATCTTTTGTTATCTTAGCGGGAAACAGGACGGGAAAGCCTTAGTAAGAGAGAGAGAGAGCAAGATGAGAAGAATTCGCAGGTTAAAAAAAAAAAGGTTGCTTTCGACGCGGCCGTTGTCCGTTGTCATAAAGTTTCGAATATATTTTCCCCTCATTATTGATATGTGTGCGAAGCCTTTTACATTGAAGGTCACTTATTTCCTTCCCGGCCAGAGATGAGATATCTTGTTGTGGCTGAAATTTGACCTTAGACTCCGGTGTCACTTTCGTTTTCAGTTATTTAGCAAAACAAGCTGAAAACGAGAACGAATGTTAAATGCTTTATAAGTAATTACTGTCCAGATGACATGATATGAGTTGATGTTAAAAATGCGCTCAGGCGTGTATCTTAAATTCGGATATAAGTAAGGCGGAATTACAGTTGTCTATAAAGCGCTGTCAAATTTCACGTAAAAATCTGCATATATAACATATCGGATATGACATACAAAGTTTATCGAATGTAAGGGTATACGGTCGGTCTATCTCTATAAATTTTTGTCATCTTACTTCGTTTTGTTGAAGCGTGTGAAGGCTTGCTTCGCTTGCATTAAAAATAACAGCTAATTATGTTTATTTTTAATACGTGGACTGCATTCGTTTATTTATTTATTTATTTATTTATTTTTTTTATCAACAAACGAAACAATTGCCAGCTGTCATTGTGTGGCATTGTTGGATCAGTAACTGTTTCTAAACAGTAGGGCTGTTTGAAACGGAACTCTATATGATGTATTGAATGAAAAGCTCTTCGCTAAGTATATAGTCGTCACTCTGTTGTTGTATCATTTCAATTAGATGCGACTAGCTTTGACTCTCTTTACGAAGAGATAGCTAAGAGAAAGGATGCTTTCAATGATTACATACCTGCAAGATCATGCTTAGAATTTTTGCATTCTATGCATTTTGTACGATTAAATAAAAAAAAAAAAACAAAATTGAATTTGTTTTTAAGATCTTTAAAATAAAATTTTTTTTAAAAATATATTTTGGTTTTTAATTAGTTGTCGTTAAGCGCGGACAACAATATTTTTACATATGTTAGGAGATTAAAAAGCATTTAAAGGGTCTTTAATAAAATCAGTCCTTAAATAATATTACATAATAATTTATATTTTTTTTAGTCGTATTTTTAGTAATTTTTAGAGATTTTTTTTTTTTTTTCTGAATTTAAAAAGTTCATTAAACTTTTTTTTATATGAATGTGTGATCTATTCTACATTGTCTTGTATACACTTATATATACTTATATACACATAATTATATATACTACCAATTTAATACCTATGCATACGTTTACGCATTTTAGTTCAATAATTAAAGGATAAAATCAAGCTTATTAATGAAATAAAAAGAAACATAAAAGTTGCATAAAAGTTATCACATAGTGTTTGTAGTGTTCTCAATATATTTTTACATAAAAATACAAAGTATATATATATATATATATAAAGAGTTATGAATGAAAAATTAACGAATAAAAATTTTTAGTTTAATTTTAATACTTTTTAAAGAGGCTTTGTTTTTAATTTTCTACCTAATGATAATTTTAATCATGCATCAGTTTCACTCTCCTATTGATGACATTAATCGGTTTTTTTCATTTTATTTTATTCTTTTTTTTTTTTTTAAATTTATATAAATACCATGTATTTGTATTAAACATAATTAATTAGTATTTTTTTTAAAATTTTTTTGTTCACTGCGCAAATACGCCTTCAATATTTTTATATACCATCGTCGAACAAGGTGAGTATATTAGAATTGTCCTTCCGTTCGTTACATTTAGAAATCAGACCAGCGGAGACCTTATGATATATAATTAATATATTGTTGATTGGCGTTCGATTCTGAAGCGATTTAACCCTTATCACCCCTAATAGTGTGTTTGTTTGTCTGCCTGTAACTGTGGGTGTAATTAAATAATCAACTGTCACTCACTATTTATTACAGATAATCGTTATTGTTCTATCCGGTACATGTGACCTTAGGTGGGAACTTTGAACCAACTCGATTATTAAATCCCAATATTGCACTAATGATAAAAAGAAGAGAAATTTCTCAACAATTATTAGAATAATGCTTATGCTCTTAAGATGACGGGCATGGCAATAATTTAATATGAAATATTTTGGATGCAACCGATTACATGTCGATCTGGCACTGATCAATTAAAGTGTGTTAAAAACTTAGTCAGAGTCTCGTTGGCCGCCGACAAGACAAGACATGATTTCGAAAGCGTATTTTCCAAAAATGCTGAACAAAACACCTAGAAGACGTAATTACAATACCAAAAAAAAAAAAAAAAAAAAAAGAAAAGAAAGAAGATGAAGATGAAGATGGAAAAAGGAAACCTGATAACAAAACAATACCTAAGTTTGAATTTTTTTTAGAGAGAGAGGGAGAGAGAGAGAGAGAGAAATATAAAGACTTGCTTACGTTATTTCTCTAACAATCGGTTTTTATGAATTAATTTTACAGATATATATGTAAGTGGTTTGTTCAATAAAGCGAATGCTTTTATTTATAACATGCAGCAGCCAATAGTACTTCTTTTAGAAGTAATTGTCAGATCAATGCAATTTCCAATGAAATTTAAACGTATCACACAGCCAACAAAAATGAATACACACACGATTACGTAGCTACATTGTGTACATATATAAATGTAAACATGAAAATCGTTAATAGTAATAAAATAATTTCATTAAAATTAACTAAATGAATCCAATGTAGATTTTTTTTTACAGTTATAAACTATGTATAAAATTTATGACAATTTTGTAATATATAATAACAACAATAATAAAAAAGAATTCTTTCGATTCTTTAAATTTGATAAATTGATTGATTAAAAGCAATGGGAATATACTTCAACGACTATGACTATAAACTCCATTTATTTATTTATTTATTTTTTTTTTTAGAGTAATTTTGAATATTGAGACTTGAATTCATAAGATAAGGGAGGACGGAAGATGCCTTCTTCGCTGTTGTAGTGATAAAGCCGTTGTTTAATTAATGAAAATTAACGTAATGGGTGGTGAACAATTTTCTAGTGATTAGGCAGAAAGCTCATTTAGCCCGTTTTCTGGTGATGTTGTACCGAGAGCTATCGGATAATTTCTTTTCAAGTTTCTACTTTTCAAAGACTGGCATGTTTTTATGGAATTCGAAAGCAATGATCAAAGTTGCCTTTTATCGCAACTTGCTGTGCTTACGACGGACTTTAAGATGACTATCACGGTTCCGGTAAACGTCTGATCGAGAGTTGTTCGAAATGAAATACAATTTTCTAGGGTCCGATAAGACACAAAAGTGCCGAACACGAAGCTGCTGGTCTGGATCTTATTTCAATTATATCGAATATGCATCTCTCCTCATGAAATTGGGCATGTCCTTGATCTATTTTCTCCGTATTTAGGAAGGAACATTAGGAAATTTATAAAGTTATTGACGATAATGAGTGATCGACTCACACATAAAAAAAAGTCATAGGTTGAACTCTTTTTTTTCATATGTTTTCATATTTTGTTCGTTAAAAGGAAAAGAAAAGAGAACATTTTTTTTTTGGAAATTTCATTCATACCTGTAAACTATTCAGATGTGCTGATTGTTTAGTAATTTTTGCTTTTTTTTTTTTTAAATCTTTTTTCTGTTTTAAGATCAAATGCGAAAACCCATCCAAACGAAGAATAAAAATTTCTGTATTTACCATAGCGACATATTTCACCGACCTTTTTATATGTATAAAATTTTGCCATATAACGACTTTCTGAAAATAGGTCATAAGGTCATAGGTCCGATCAAATTGCTTTTCAATAGGATTCGTCCTTTGGTCAAAAAATATGTGGGCGTACCAACCGGCATCACAATATATCGAAAATTGTAATGCCTACGTCAAACACAATATTACTAGGCAGGACGGACAGATATACTTAAATTGATCCAGAATCGATTGCTTAAATAATAAATGAGTCAGTCTATCGCCAGCCTCCATCACAAGTGTTATAAGTTATATATTCGATTTAAAATTTTGGGAAAGAAAAAAAAAAAATTACATAAGCGATTATGACCAACAATGACAACTTACTTTGGAAGCACATCAGGGATAGTCAAGGCATAGCTTTCAAACAGTTAACGCGCTATTCTTGTGTCAGTGCGGAGTTATTACGAACTTGAATCTTTGAAAATTGTTTGGGAAAATGAGAATGTATACAATTTACTGCATTATATGGGGAAAAGGGGTTAAGTATCTATCGGGTGCATTTTTTTATTTCTTGATTATCACTATCAAAATAACCAATTGATTAAGGTACCGAATGATGGCATTTGATTAAATTTGTAACCACAAACTTCATTGTTGTCTATCAGTCATTAATTTAGCAATTAAGCAATGCCGTGCACAGTTAGGCTTTGTGAAGAAGGAATCTTTGCGAGGAAACCAAGCACCGATTACTTGCAATGGATAATAAATTTCAATTTAATCTTGATTACTTCACATAACGAGAATAATTAAAATTTGATTAAATTATGGTAAATTCATGTCTCCTAATTATAAAGCGAATTTTGTTTTTTTTTTTTTTTTCTTTTATTCTAACTAAAGAAATTAATTTCTTATCGAAATATTTATTTATGTATCACTTATTTATTTCTTCTTGTCAACGTTAAGCTTTCGAAAGAGTTTAATTTCATTTTCTTTCCTATACGGTTAATACAGTGCTTGTCGATGTTTGACTAAGACTTGTTTCCGAGTTCGGTATGCATAGGTATATCTTTTTACGATTTTTATTATAATGTATTATCAAAGCTAAAGCTATGCAAAGCGAAGAGCCAATGAAGAGCGTTAACATAACAATGTATTCAATTTCATTAAGCCAGTGGGAGTTTTCATTTCCAATGTTCAAATTTTCCGAATTTGAAAGCGTTTTGTTTTGATGTTTTGATGTGTAAGGCGGTACAATATCCGAGGATAAAGTCGTCGATATATAAGGATTTTCAATGAACGTCAAGTTATTAGAATTTGAAAATGTTATTGAATTGATTGTATTCGCTATCTTCGGTTGCATAGGCGGGGTCAATGAGGTGGTTGAAGGTGTTAAATATAACGCTGGAGATGTCTGCGCTAAATTACGGACAGCCGTGTTTTCACTTTGAGAGATTTCATCTTTGGAAGTGGAGTACGTGAACGGATCTATCGAAAATTCCGTAGTCACATCTTCTTTGCCAGTAGGTGTCGAAAAGTTTTCTTTAAAATGTGATGATTTTGTTGTTGTTGTTGTGATAGTCGGTTCAGTTGCTGTTATCCTCCATAAATAGTTTAGAATTGTACTACTGGCTATAGGGGACGCTGCTGATGATATGTCCGTGATTTCAAAGTTTTCTGGCGAATTACTTACGTTGGAAGTGTCGGCGGATGCAATAGTAGTCGCAGTTTTTTCGTTAACTTTTTGCGATGAAATATCTGCAATGGTCTCGTTAAAAGGTAAATCGTCTAAAGAATTATCAGTCGGCAATGAAGACGCATTGTTTTCGATAGTTGACGCCTTAGTTGCCACAATTTTTTCAAGATCTTCGTATAATCCGGTTGTCGAATAAATTATTGTTTTTGTTGTCGATGCGGTATTTGGAAAATTGCTTGCTTCAGTGATGACATTCTCTTCCGTGCTATTACTGTATATAAGCGATGTCTCATTCGTGCATTGCGGACAGCATTCGTTCGCGATAACTTGACTGTGCTTGCATTCTAGTTTGGGGCAAACTGGTGTTAAACACCTTTTGTTACCCGCTTTACAAGTGCAACTGACACAGTTGCCTTCTTTCCAGCGCGCGCCGTTCATGATGGGCTTTTGTAAATATTCTGAATAGCAATTTTGTAATAATTCTTCTTCGGCGCAATGATTTTCGCACAACTCTTGTTCACCGAAACATCTGCACTTTGTACATAAACTTTTCCAATAACTTTGCTTGATTGTCGATGGGCAATCGACTTTGTCCATACACTGAAAAGTTGAACAACAATTACCGGGTTTACCTTGACCTTTAAACATTTCCACGGCCACTTGACCTTGAAAACATGCTGGAACTTCATCACATTTACGGCATATGCACGCATTCTCCACGCCACAGCATTTCATTACATCGTCATTATCGGAATTTCTTCTTTTTCTGCTTTTGTTACTCTCGTCGTGCGATTCCTTTGCGTTTATGTGACGATCGTAGTCTAATGAAGTAATCCAGTCTTCCTCATAATCTTCGAATTCATCGTCCGCCTCATCGTCGTCATCTTTATAAGTGCCTGTTGACTTGAGGTAGCTATCGGCCGGACATCGCAAGTTACATTGTATATGCGAGCATTCCAGCTCATTTTTTTCTATAATTGCAATAAAATAAATTAGATAGATTAGATCCTTGAAAAAGTGTTGGGAAAATTGAAAAAATTCATCATAAGATTATAAATTTATATCTTAAACGCATTACTAAGACATGATTAATTTAAAAAAACGATTTCCTATTAATTCCTTATAGCATTTTTATAACATCATTGTCTAATTGAAAAATGAGGCTTTTTCAAATTGTTATTAGCGTGTGACGTAATATTCGTTATAAACGCAATTTATATGAAATGTAAAAAGGGGATGTGATATGAAATGCAACTGTTCATGTATTAACTACGTGTTCCTGCGTAACTTTCAATATGTGTTGTTATGAATTTTGCCTGAGGTTCAATTTTGTTTTTGTTTTTTTACTAAATTAAGTGCAGATTGTTTGGTTATTGTGTGTGCACTGTTTAAAACCACGGACGCCATCAAATTGTTGCTATTGTTGTTGCGCACATGTGGGAATTCGTTCCGTTTGTAAATGTTAAACCAAAATCACTAACCAGATTTGTTTGGGTTCAAAGGAGGAAATCAAAACCAAAGTATGTGAATAATAATAATGCAAAAAAAAAAAAAAAAAAAAAAAAAAAAAAAAAAAAAAAAAAAAAAAAGCCCAAGAACCATAACATGAACATGAAATAACATATTTTACAATTACCATTAAGGCAGATTGCATTTACATACCGACCATCTCAATAATGCAGCAGTTTAATTGCCCGCGTGTCAGTTACTCCATTGGGACTATCCTTCAATTGAAATGAATCCTTAGGTATTTCCGGCTCCACATTGTTGGCAAAAAAAGCGAAAGAATTTTTCTATTTTACCTTTGCTGAGTACACTACGCTTTTTTTTTATACCCCCCACCCCCTTTGATGGTAAAGCGCGTACCAAATTTTATGCGCATATACGTTTATAACAATTAATCAGATTATTCAGATAGATTACACCTTTCTGAATACATATCTGAATCGATAAATGCTCGTGTATCTATTTAGTGTCTGTCCATATTTCCGTGTTCAATCTACATGTTGCAATTCAATTACATATATTGACGAAATTTACACCGCTGATGTATTTTTGGCCAGTGTCGTTGAGTATTAGTATTAAGAGATAACAGGTCGTTGTGAAAAATTTGCATCGGACGGACCAACCACACATTTTGTCTTTTCATAATGTATGCAACACGAAAAAGGATGCTTCAGAGAGACCCTATGTTCTTGATCAGCTTGAAATTCTGAACTGATAAAAGCCATGTCTGTCCGTTTGTGTGATGCGCAAAAACGAAGATGTCGACCTCAAATTTGATAGAAACATTTGCAAGTTTTTGCGCGCAGGTTGGTATTGAGAATGGATCCGCATGAGCTCAGAGCAGAGGCCCGCGTAAACTGAACGCAGCTCTGGTTATTCAGCGATTGTCAAAGTTAGAAAGCTGAAATTTTCCCCATTCACTTGACAAAACACTCTGGTCTTTACGTACAGAAATGGAAAGAATCGGCCATGTCTACACAATGTTACAAGCGATTAAATCTTCTATTCTCCAACACTTTTGATATTTTATGCTTATTAACCATAAGGGAAACAAGACAGAATGTTTAAAACTATTTCGTATATTCCTTAAAATGAAGATATATTATCTGCCTAAGAATGGGTTAATTCTAAAATGAATAGATGGGTAGACACAGCGATCTGGTGGATGAATCAGCATACTGACGGGTCTATGAGATTCGATGTCCGCCGAATATAACTTTTTTTCCTTTTTTTTTTTTTGAATTGAATTCCATGTGACTGCTCGGTGACTGTAAGGAAAACAGAGCTTTGCTCGGCACAAAGGTGTGTTTCGTGGTAAAAATTAGTCTGTAATGGTAATTTTCATATAAAAATTAGCATTCACAGATCCACGAATCATGTCGATCAACTCAAGAAGAAAGGCAAGACAATTCCAGTTAATTAATTTGAATCATATTCAGTTAATTTTTATTGCCAGTCCAGTCCGTTACTGGGTTACTTAGCTAATAATCGAAATGTTTAATTTTCCATTTTCCATTCTCTATCGTTGAATATCAACAGTGAAAATGCATGTATTAATGGCCATCGCACGTGGTGGAGAATGGAAATTGAATGCTTCAGTTTGCTTCTTGTCTAATAAGCAGCTACAGAGCATTTTTCTAGATAGCTACCATTAATGATGATTTATTTGTTGTTATTTTAGAATTAGAAGCAATAATAATAGTAGGCTGGAAGTGTGCATAAGAAACCTCTTACGCTGTGTAAAACCATTTAACTATTGTTGTCAATTAGTTCGCATCTTGAAATCATGCTCATGGCCTGTTGTATGTATTTTTTTTTTTTTTTTTTTTTTTTTTACATTTACGAATTGTTAACGAATAGCGACAACCGGTTGGAATATAAATATGCAGCGACCGGTAGGACAAGCGAGGAGAAATTGAAGAGTGACAAACTTGTAGCATTTATCAAGAAATTTGTAAACGACGAACAGCTGGACAAGCTGGTCCAAGTAAAGAACAATTCGTACAATCTTGTTTAATATTACGTTTATCGAGAGTGTACAGAGTGGGACGATTGCCCACCACCAGTAACTGGTAACTTGTTTATTTTTAACTGTTAGGCTAATTTAAAATCAATATATTTTCTTCAATTTTGACATGTTTATATTTATCAAAATAACAACAACAACAACAACAACAACAACAACATCGATCTGTTTAATGGTCGATGGTTATTACAAGATACGCACCAAATCGAATACAATCTGTTTCTCTGTTTGCTTTTGAGTTTCGAGTTCTGACTTCGTTGCATAACATTTAGGACAACCGCGTGTTGACCGCGTGTATATGAATATAAATGTCTGCTTGTGTATGTCGTATCAATGAAATTTTTCTGTTGTTTCCATAAACGTATGTATGTATGTATGGCGCTTTTGCGGTTTTGCTAATGCAACTTTTCACAAAAGTTCGTCTCTTCAGCTTAGATCAATGGCATACTATTAGTCGGTTATGTAAGAACAGAATGGATATATACACGCGCACCGGCATATATACATATATATATATATAGGCACTTGTATGCACTTAGTTTTTATGTAAAACGGAAATGACAACAGTTAGCCGTTATTGTTGTATGTTATTATAAGCTCGAACAATCAAATAAATGCATACAAAAGTCTACTTTGACGATCGATGTGTTTGCATTCGTGTGTGTATTACAATTTCCGATTTCTTTCTTCACCATTTTATTTTCTGCGTACGAGTGCGTCTGCACACTGTTATAACACTAAATGGCTAAAGTCAATTTTACGTCACTTTTTCTTAATAATAATTTACTAATAAGAATAAAAAAGAAAAAAAAAAAAAAAAAAAAAAACAATTGTATGTCTTTTAGAATGTGTGGCATGACGTATATTATTAATTAGTAACAGAAAATATTAATGAAAATAAAAATGTCGTCAAACTTTCTCGGAAGTTTTACAGCGACGCGTAACGCATCATTACCATAAGTTTGAAATTCTTATTGGTGATAACAAAAAAAATCGGGATAATTTGGAAACGCTGTTGAGGCATTCTACACTTATTCCATGGTTGGATGGTAAACGTCTACGTTTAAGGTGCATAGGGAAAGACAGAAACCGCACCTATTTAAGTTCAATTACAACAAACAATATAAAAAGTAAAAGCATTACCATCGGGCAAGCGTGACTATCAAATACCCTACAGCATTTTGTCGTTGATAAAAATCTTTATTGATTTTCGTGGTAAAATAAAAGTCAACTACAGCATGTAAAAGCATGCTTTTGGTGTAAGCTCTTATTTGAGAGGGGCCCAAAACGTCTACCGACATTGCTAAAATTACACAACAAAATTAATCTTATTACGCTTCACTTATTTTGATTGTAAGTTACTTTAATTAGACTTTGTTGCCGTACAAAAGACTTAGTGTTCATAAGAACTTTTATATAGGGTAGGGTTCATTAGATATCCATACTGCGGCACATTAAATTCATAAAACTATTTGAATTGAACTGCCATTGCCATATAGGTGTTCCTGCGACAAGTCAATGTCTATTGTAATTAAATATAAAAATGAAATGTACCGAATTTGGTTCACGTATTTTTAGCTTGTACAATTACTAGGACTAGGCGCATAGACAATGCAATGTCTAAACGATTAAAGTCAAATATTGTTTGCATATTACTAATGAAGTATCCGGTCCAAGCTGTATGTGTATGCGAAATTTGCATTCTTTTCACATGAATTAGTTTCTATGTTCATCGAAATAGTAATTGACGTTACGGGCGCGAAATCTGATCCAATTTCAATGTAGAACCGCATTTACGAATATCTGTACGGAGCTATATAGAGTTGTCATCAGTTGATTCGGAATAATTATATAGCATGCGTTCTACATAATTTCTACGCAGTGTAAGCGGAAAAACAAAATTAGCGTATCCTTCGATAGAGACGGATAAATGTATAACTAAAATACAATAAATTAATGGCACAAAAAAAAAAAAAAAAAAAAAAAAAAATGTAACCCTCAAACTATAAAACCACAACGCATTGAATAGCATATATTTAGTTTATCATTTTAAAATGCCACTTAACCAATGATGCAGTAATTGAACATACATTCAAACATGCATGTGTATATCCGCACGCAAACGTACATGAAAAGCCCACATATGCCAAGAAGCTTAAGGCACTAAAAAATGAAGAAGAAAAAAAAAAAACAAAATGAAAGCGAAAAAAAAAGGAGAACATTTGCCGCAACCCCTCAAAAAATGCGCTCATACACATACAGAAATAAAATTTTGTGAACCATTAAAAATTGGCTGCAACAAATTGCCATTTCGCTGTCGACAACTAGGCAATGCAATGCAATGGAATGCAACGCAATAGCAGTGGCCAAATGTATATATATATATATATATATATATATATATATGTGTATGTATGTGTATATGTGTGTGTGTATGCT